TCCTGCTGGTGCCTCTGCAAAAGGCTATTTGGAATTGACATTTATCTCCTTTCCAACAAATCAACCTCCTTTTTCAAGTGCTTTGATATCTACTGATGAAAAGAATACTATAAGGGTTAAGTATTATTATGCTTTCCCTCCTCTCTCTTGGGCCAGCAAGTCTACTTAACACAACTATCTCGCTTCCCGTCTAACTCCCATGTGCGGTAATGAATTGCTCCCCTTAGTCAGCAGTCACATGCTCTCTAGGCTGGCAGGGCGAGGGAAAAGATGGAGGAAAAATCACTCTGCGCCACACTCACTTTGTAATCCCTAATCAGAGTCCTCTGTGGGAAAAACTAATTTCCCAGCCTGTCTTGATGTGTGAAATAAAGTCATTCTTGAAAACGGGAGCTTGACAGGTCGCTTGTGAAATTTCATATTCAACTAAAAATAAAATATCCATCCATTGATATTTCATTTAAAGGCGAAGGAAAACAAATCTTTTGCCTGGTTGTTGGGACTGTTTCCCATTAGTTATGGCCTTCCAAATGCAGTGTATACACAAATTAAGCAAAAGCTTTTCAGGAGAGCGAATAATACTGCATGGCCTCAGGGAAAGTTGTTTCTCTCTAGAACAATATTCATACGAAAAGTTTTGTGAAGATGTTTCCTTGCGAAATATGTCTGAATTTTCTTTTTCTGTCATCCCTGTAACTCTGCTCTGACTCCATAGGCTACTGATCTCTACAAATTTTTAGACATCTTTTTCTTGCAAAATGGCTGAGTCTGGGCCTAATTCAACAAAGCCATTAAACCATGTTTCACTTTAAGCTTAGTGAATGTCCTATTGGAGGTAAGCATACAGTTAAGTACTCTACTGCAAGGGTGTCTCTGTCATACAGGTGGACTTTTATATCTTGGTTAGCTCGAATGGAGCCAGTAAAAGGTTTTGGGCCGAAAATATTTTTTAAAGAGGCTTATTATGTTAAAGGTGCAGTGAATAAAGCTCTTGAGTATAAGAGATATGAAGGTGCAGATCCTGTTAAGTACCTTCCAGAACATCAGCCATACACACCAGCTAAAATGCTTAAGCGGATAGGTGCTGCTGGATACTTCTTACTGGGGCAATCAGTCTACCTTCCTAGGTGTCACCACCTGAATGGGATTGCTTGTGCTGGAAATTTTGCCTTAGCACTCCCTTTGCAACTGCAAAGCAGAGCTGGGAGGATGCTGACCTTCAGCAAGCCATTCAGGGTAGCATTTCCACACAGGGATCCTTGGCATTAGGGTCTGAAAGCCAGAGGAGAATTCCTTTGCTTTGGGCTCTCTCAGATAAGGCCATTTTTATGATGCCTCCTAGGTCTGAAAACAAAACCGGGTATTTTTTTATGAAATGCCTGTGTAGCTCTGCTGAAAACAGGGCTGCTGAATTAACCAGTGGGGGGTTGACCCCAACCTGGGATTTCAGACAAGCAAAAAACAAACTACTGTCCAATTAAAACTGTACAGCAGAGGGAATTTTAGCTAGGTAGAAATGTAATTACCCATGCTGGAAGATGGCCAGAAGAACAGTACTAACATGCCTCTCCTCTTGTGAGAAATATTCTATGTTTTTCTGTACTCATGGCTTCAATTTTGTGTCTCATCTGAAAGATGAGTAGGATGGCAGTCACTAGGAGCTATTTCCCCGGTACAGTCC